GGAGTGACAGCACCAATTGGGAGCAAAACCGCAGAATCGGGTATAGTAGCCGGAAGAATGCACTCGTAAAGTTCGTAGCTTCCCAGGCATTCTCCACGTAGTAGGGATGACGGGCTGTGCGGCGGATTGCACACATAAATGGCAGCGTGACCATTGCGAAAAATGACGACGGCAAACGGAAGCATGATATTTCGACGGCACGCAGATGGGACCGATGGCATAAACAACACAGGCGATTTCGGAGGGGAGGCACACGACACCGAGACAACAACAGCTGAGAAAGGCACAATGTCAACGTCAGAAGCAGCAAACACTCTACACGAAGCACCATCGTCGGGGTCATAGCACGGCACAGACAACGCGAGTTCAGAACGAGCACAGTCTACCAAAGCAGAATTTGACGAAAGAAAGTCCCACCCAAGGATAACGTCATGCGAAGAACGGAATGAAACTACAAATGTGACGACGTACATCGCACCTTGAATGACGACTCGTGCGGTGCACAAAGCTGAAGGCTGAATATGATGGGACGTAGCTGTCTGCAAAGATAGGTCGGTAAGTTGTGTGGTCACTTTCTTCAAGTTTCAGCACAGTTTCTCGCTAATTACAGATACTGCAGCTCCAGTGTCAACAAGTCCGTGCACCCTAATGCCATCAATATAGAGTTCGATTTCGTTCGGGGGACAGCAGTTAGATCTTGAAATTTTCGCTGCCAACGCAGTTCTTGCCTCCGGAACTGCGCCCGTCAGTTTTCCCCTCGCGGTGGGCTGTTGCGACGTAACATCGGAGAAATAGATCGACGACGAGGAGAAGGTGAACGGCTTGTGCCGGATGGTCGGCGACCGGGACGTACGTCTAGAGGTGGATTGGCAGGAACGGGATATCGCGGCTGAGTGGGCATGGTGGGCATGTAATGTGAGGCCCCTGCAATGTCGTGAGAAGGGAAGCTGCGACGACGGCAGTGACGAGCTACGTGGCCTGGGATGCCACATGAAAAACATATCGGCCGATTATCTGGAGTGCGCCATTGGCTGACGATAGGGGCACTGTTCGCTGAATAAGGTACCGTATATGGTCGTGCAGGCGGCGGCGTCATATAAACGTTCTGACCTGTTTCATATACAGCCGGAGACGGGACGGTCAGCGGGCGGGAAGGTGGGGTCGACGAATAAACGTGGCGAGTAGCTTCGTAGATGGCCGGAGACACTGGCGCACGTGGTTGAGCAACTGCGGCTGCATACGTTAGTGGTGCGGTAACAGTTGGGGGAGCCTGAGCTGGCGGCAATGCTTCGGCAACTTGCGATCGAATGACCTGGTGAAGCGAAGGCGACAAGGGTGCCATCGGCTCGGTAGTTCTTGTGATTATAGATAGCTGCCGGGCGACCTCCTCGCGTATGAATTGCTTTATGACTGGCATCAACGCAGAGTGGTCGGCGGTGTCATGGCGATAGTCGAGGGATGAGATGTCCGCGGTGTCTTGAGCAGCGCAACGTGTAGAAGCGCGCTGCCTACGCAGCTCATCATAGCTTTGGCAGAGCTGAATCACCTCGGCGACCGTCTGGGGACTCTTCGCAGCCAGCATTGGAATGCACCGTCGTCGATTCCTTTCATGATGTTCTTGATCTTGCCTGCCTCGTCCAGAGTCGAATCGACGAGCTTGCAGAGAAATAGCACATCTTCGATGTAGCTCGTGAAAGTTTCATCTGCTCTCTGTACTCTGCCCCGCAAGCGCTGTTCAGCACGAAGGCGGCGGACAGCAGGACGGCCAAAGACTTCCGCGAGGGTTTTCGCCAATTCCGACCAGGTACTGAATCACTTTGATGATTTCTGTACCATAGTTTTGCCACGTCGTTCAGGTAAAAACTCACATTTGTGAGCTTATCGGCTGCGTTCCACTTATTGTCGGCGCTCACCAGTTCATACTCGGCAATCCAGTTGTCCATAATGGTGACGGAACAAAACACCTACAAGCGTGAGCCCCTTATACTAGTAAGTGACCTGAACCATAGACATTACGGGCCTTAGGACCTAGCTTTGTCGTCGACTCTCACTGTACGCTGTTAAGGTATATAAAAAAATCCCTATAGTCGAGCCATATATGTATGTATGTGCATAAACAACGTTTATGATAGACGAACATTGATAACAATTGTGATGAAAGAATCGATAATACCTACAAGCACAAACCCTTTTTACTAGTGGGTGACATGAAGCTACACATTATGAACCTGAGGACCTACCTTTGCCGTTGACTATTTACTTTATGTTACTCAGTGTATATTATAAGGGGCGACGCTCGGGTAACGTGCGGTTACTCACCCATGCGATACTCAGAGCGTCGCTCACTCGTCACGATTGACTTTCTGGAGATGCGTGATTTTTTTTAGCATAAGCCCTCTTTCAATTTACAACTCATATCATTCTCATATATGTTTTATTTTATTGTCCACCAGCTCATCAAACTGTAATACATGGAGCTTCGTGTGTATGCCCATAAATAAATAAATGCCCGCACTGTCTTATTCAATCAGTGCATTTTACTAGGTCACATTAGGTTTGACGTTTGATGTCGTATAAAGCTTACTTCAATCATCAAGCAAGCTCGTTTATTGGAAGAATCAGCACTCAAACGAAACAAATATCAGAAATACGTCCAAAATTTAATTCCGTAGGCCCCGTTTTAAACAAATCTTTAGGCATGCCTATTTTATCCATACAACAGTTTCTCGTAGAATGACGCTACGAGAAACTTTTGCATAGATAAAATAAAGTGCAGAAATAAGTTTATACGTATTTTGTATCTTAGTTCCAACTTGCAATACTCCAAGATTGTTCATTGTTTTTGCAATGAATGATTCGAACACACGAATAGAGATTTGACAGTAATAGTTCGTGGTTTGGTAAAATGCCACGGTATAGTGGTATTGATACTCAACGCTGCTTATATCGAGATCCACAGTGAAACTACGACGTATTGAGCACCTTTAGAAGGCCGGGCTTTCATTTGCTGGCGTATGCTGACAGCGTATGCTTTCGTATGTTGATATCGAATGCTCGTCGCTTGACGTAACTGAGGGAAAACCGCGAATAGCATAGCCATATGAACGTGCACTCGCACCAACGAGAAATACTCTTCTTGTCGTTCTTCGAGCGTATTCGAGATGATAAGTGAGGGCTCGATCGCGTCAAAGAGAAGTTCTCCTAATCTTGTTCTTCGAGTGCCTTGATAATGCGGAGCACTTTAGGAGACCTGGCTACACTAGTCGCTTGGCGTGACGCAGGCAAAAGCGCGTAAAAAACTAGAAAGAAGCAAGTGCGATGTAAGAAATGAGAGAAAGGGGCAAATAAAAAAAAGCAGAAAGAGCTAGAAAGAGAAAGTAATGGAGAGAGGGAGGAATGATTACAAATAAAAAGAAAAAAACCCAAAAAGAATAGGAAGAAAAACAAAGAAAACCAAACAGAAACTAAGAAGGCTCCGCTTTTATTTCAGGCTAGGGCGAAGCTGCCTCTTTCTTTACTAATTAGGATACTATTGCCATAGTCCAAAAGTATTGAGGGCCTATGCTATTACGAAGTTCCATAGTTATACACCGCACTTTGTGCAATGTTTCAACCGAGGCTCGTTAGAAAACATTAATCTAATGCATTAAAATACCATGAGATGTAGCAGCCACCATTCTTCCGCCCTCGGGGCCTGGCTGTCTCGATGGTTAGTGTATAGCGCATAGCTCCACCTTCTCTGCCTTCTTTTAGTAGCTTGGCGTCCGTGGCTCCTCAGCTAATGATTCCTCATCACACGATGTGTATGCCACTTGAGCAGTTCCTCTCTTACAGTAGCTTAGAACGGCAACTACACAAAACGAAGATAAAGAAAGAGAGAAAAAATGGGATATTTCCTTGAGAGGGTTGAGAAATGACGATATATTCTAAAATGCTTAAATGGGCACCTCAACACTCTCTCAATGTACATATATAAAAAACGGGCGCGTTATTCTCTTCTGGCAGGTCGTGTCCTTCTGGTACACCTTGAGACGCAAGAATTCCCGTCATTTCAATAGAGTACATACTCTCGACTGGTTCATACAAGCCAACGAGCAGATGGGAATTGTCTTCTGCACTGCATTTCCATGAAGCCGCCCATCCGTTTTTTCTTGTTTCGCGTGATTATTGTGCGCGATCGACAAGGCTTCCTTCATTTTAAGAGTGCGTCCACTGCAGGACAAAGGCCTCTCCCATGTTTCGCCAGTTAACCCGGTCCTGTGCTTGCTGCTGCCAATTTATACCCGCAAACTTCTTAATCTCATCTGCCCACCTAACCTTCTGTCTCCCCCTAACCCGCTTCCCTTCTCTGGGAATCCAGTCAGTTACCCTTAATGACCAGCGGTTATCCTGTCTACGCGCTACATGCCCTGCCCATGTCCATTTCTTCTTCTTGATTTCAGCTATGATATCCTTAACCCCCGTTTGTTCCCTAATCCACTCTGCTCTCTTCTTGTCTCTTAAGGTTACACCTACCATTTTTCTTTCCATTGCTCGCTGCGTCGTCCTCAATTTAAGCTGAACCCTCTTTGTAAGTCTCCAGGTTTCTGCTCCGTAGCTAAGTACCGGCAAGATACAGCTGTTATATACCTTCCTCTTGAGGGTGAGTGGCAATCTACCTGTCATAATTTGCGAGTGCTTGCCGAATGTGCTCCACCCCATTCTTATTCTTCTAGTTACTTCAATCTCGTGGTTCGGCTCTGCGGTTATTACCTGCCCTAAGTAGATATAGTCTTTTACAACTTCAAGTGCACTATTACCTATTTCGAAGCGCTGCTCTTTGCCGAGGTTGTTGTACATTACTTTCGTTTTCTGCAGATTAATTTTAAGACCCACCTTTCTGCTCTCCTTGTCTAACTCCGTAATCATGTGTTGCAATTCGTCCCCCGAGTTACTCAGCAATGCAATGTCATCGGTGAAGCGCAGGTTACTAAGGTATTCTCCATTGACTCTTATCCCTAACTGTTCCCATTCTAGGCTTCTGAAAACCTCATGTAAGCAGGCGGTAAATAGCATTGGGGAAATTGTGTCTCCCTGCCTTACACCCTTCTTGATTGGTATTTTGTTGCTTTCTTTATGAAGCACTATGGTAGCAGTTGATCCCCTGTATATTTCTTCCAGAATATTTATGTATACTTCATCTACGCCCTGATTCCGCAGTGTTTGCATGACGGCTGATATTTCTACTGAATCAAACGCCTTCTCGTAATCTATGAAGGCTATGTATAGTGGTTGGTTATACTCTGAGCATTTCTCTATTACCTGATTGATAGTATGAATGTGGTCAATTGTTGAGTAGCCTCAACAGGCTACTCAACAATTGACCACATTCATTGCTTGTAGATTTCGTTAAACATTATTATTTCGGGACACTCCATGCGAATTGTTTCCATCAAGTGGACCAGTATTGTAAAAACACTTCACAACGGTGAACACGAGAAAAAAACAGCAACAACAGATTTGGTTTAATCTACCAATCTTGATCCACCGTTTACCCCCACTATATTAACCACCCTCATGTTTTCCTTAGCTCTATCAAAACTGCGCTTTCCATACAAGTACTGCACAATGCATGGGGATAATAAAACTGAGACTAACGTTGGATGGTGTCAATAGACATGAAATACAAATAGCTGATATCGGGAATACGTTTAGAAACTGTCACTTACAGAGAATAATAATTATACGCAGTATCTGCCCCTGCCACGAGGACCCGTTCCGAAACCCAAACGAAAAATGAGTCTTGGACCATTCAAGTTTAAAAGAGTGAGTTTAGTTTCTATATTCTAGCATACATTTTAATGCTATTATTATTCATTCCTTAACTTTTTAACTGCTAAATTATTCTTTTTTCCTGTCGTCGCAGCTGTTTGGCCTGAGTGAGCTCCGAGAGATGCTCTCAGGAGACACCAAAATGTCAGAACATCCTGTGACGTTCGAGGAAATTAGGCAGGTAAGGAAACATGAAACGTTGTGTTTCGCTAATCTCTTTAAGTTATTTCTTTCTAATGCAGAAGGAGAACAGTATCTCCATGGGGATTAGAACGTATTGTCAGGCTTGTCAATTCATTGTAGCTGCGTCAGATAATAACAGGGCTTGCTGCTCGTGAAAGTCTTGTTGGCATGCTCCCGCTTGCAGATCATGAAATCAGAAAGGTGCTCACAGTTTATTTATTCGTAAGCATCACATTGCACGCTTTAAAGAATTTGGAGCTTCGTAAATATCACGTTGCACGCTTAGAATGTCAGCGCACGTTAAAGAACGCCAGATAAATGGCAGGAACAACAGTGTGCCTCATAATCTTGTCGTGCTTTCGGCACGTAAAACCCCAGATAGTGTTATTATCTCACCTTATTTGCTTTCCTCAATATTTTTAGGGGTGACGCACCTTAGAGAAAATGTTTTTCCGTCAGTTTGGCATTCGTGCGCATGGCACAGTACAGTGCAAAAGGTTAACAAAAACAAAATAAGAGGCCACAGCGCAGTAAAAACAGCGTAATTAAAGCGTCTATCAATCAAAGCACATTACATAACAAAAGCTTAACCAGAATAGTCATCACTATTCATAACAACGGATTAACACTACATACAATATATACCGCCCAGCGGTGGAGGCCGCCTGGGAAAATTAGATGTAGAGCCTGTTTTGCGCGTTATTTTCAAATTGCGCGCTGCCTCCGTGGAGCCATGTTGTTAACCCTCATTACTGTGGTTTCATGGCGTAACGCTCAAGACACTTCACCATCCCCTAAGGTTGTGAACCAGAAACAAATGAAAGGACACAACACCGTAAAAATACTGTCATTTAAGCACCCATCAATCAAAAGACACGACAGAAAATTTGGCAGATCACACGTACCTATGAGGTCGACGATATACATGCGGAGCATGTATATCGATAGCATGCGGAGGGAAGGTGTTTTATAAATACTATATGTAATGTTTATGAAATTTGATAGCCAGCATTACAACGATGATTGACGTTCCATCCATCCATCCATCCATCCATCCATCCATCCATCCATCCATCCATCCATCCATCCATCCATCCATCCATCCATCCATCCATCCAACCATCCATCCATCCATCCATCCATCCATCCATCCATCCATCCATCCATCCATCCATCCATCCATCCATCCATCCATCCATCCATCCATCCATCCATCCATCCATCCATCCATCTCTTACAGTGAATTTTTCCTATAACAAAGCTATGATGGTAAAATTACCGACATTAGGCTTCCACAGTACCTTTTACCAATAAAAGTCAATTAGTTCTCTCACAATTCAGTGTTTTTAAAGGAAAAATAGACTAAAGTAACAGTGCGGTTCACAGAGGTTTTTTTTTGTGTGCGTGTGCCTGAGCCTATTTCTCGCAGAGTCAAGCGCTGGTGCTGTATGACACATTTCTGTCGTTCCTGCCCCGGGACCCTGGACGGCTCAGTGTGCCTGGACTGCGGGACCGCGGATACGTCTACGTAAATGACGTACGTACACACGCGCCCTTACTGACAGACTGATTCTGAAGAAACCGCGTCGCCTGGAAGCTTTTACGGAGTTTCACGAACAGAAAAAAAAAATTTGCAGGGGTGTTAGAAACGAATGTTGCCCGTTTTCTGCGTTATCTCTTTGTCTTTTTTTGCCCTATAACTTTTACTTTTATTTTGACAGCTCGCGCCAGCCATGCACGCGAACCACAGAATATGTGTGTAAGTGATTATGTAAAAAAATATGTAAGGTTTAACGTCCCAAACCACGTGCTACGTGACGTCATACAGGCTCATAAAAAGTGATCCACACTCACCGCCATGGCTGCAGATGGCACTGACTGAAACTCCCCGTTTAAATTCACTTTTATGCGTAATAAAGTGGCTAGGACGATAGCCGCTATGGTAGCTTAGGGTAGAACATAAAACGCGTTATTCGAAGGTCACGGGTTCGTTTCCTGCCCACGGCTAGTTATCTTTTCACCCACTTTTCTTTCTTCACATTTACATTACTATTCGGTCTAATAACTTCCCCTACATTATTGTTTGTTAGATCTCACACACGCACACACACACCCACACACACACATATATATATATATGTATATATTATGAAGTCTTGGTAGTCTTGGCTGCGTCAGCGTTTATTTGAGGAAAGACCTCGCAAAACGAACGGGCAGAGCCAGCACACAGACGATGACGATGATGATGACCCAGAGTGGCAATGAGGGCAAAGAGACAAGCGGATGATGGTGATTGTGATTATGCAGGGATGAGGACGATGTAAGTTACAAATGCCCACACTAGTTCCCCCCCACTTGAAAGCGGACACCCTGGCCGCCGTAAGTCAAAGTGATGGGGAACGTCGCGTGAAAGGTTTCATGCGACAAACGTGGACAATCTCTGTGCTGCGGTAGCGGTGGTCTGTTGGGGCGACGAGTGATGTCACACGGTAATTAACCAGCGAAGTCTGTTCTAAAACAATGTAGGGCCCGATGAAGCGTGATTGGAATTTGTCACAGAGACCAGGAGTGCGAATAGGTGTCAAAAGCAGCACCTCGTCACCAGGTTGGAAAGAGACAACGCGGTGGGATTCGTCATAGATGATCTTCCGCTCGTGCTGTCTCGCTTCAGTATTGATGCGAGCCTGATGGCGAGACTGGGCCAGGCAGGAAATGTATTCTTCGCTAGAAGACTGACATGAATTCCCATGGCTGCTAAAGAAGGAGACGTCGAGAAAGGTAGTCGGGGTGCGTCCGTACACGAGGTAAAACGGTGAGTAGCAAGTTGTTCGCTGAACGGCGTTGTTGTAAGTGAATGTCAGGAATGGTAAAAGAGTGTCCCAGTTTTTGTGGTCGGGTTGGACGTAAACGGCTATCATGTCTGCAAGGGTTCGGTGAAATCTTTCTGTGAGACCATTTGTCTGAGGGTGGTAGCTTGAAGCTGTCTTGTGAGTAGTTCCAGATGCGCGCAGTACTTCATTTACAACTTGTGACAGGAACACTTTGCCGCGGTCACTAAGCAGTACACGAGCAGCCCCATGACGCAGTATTATTGCGTGAAGAATAAAGTCTGCAACTTCCCCAGCTGAGCCTGTAATAACAAAGGAAGTCTCAGCGTAGCGTGTCAGGTGGTCCACGGCAGTCACTATCCATCGTTTGCCAGCAGATGTGACGGGGAGAGGCCCGTAAATGTCAACACCTACAACCTCGAACGGCATTGAAGGGCACGGAAGTGGCTGTAGAGGTCCAGCAGGTGCCGACGTGGGGAGTTTACGACGCTGGCATGGGTAGCAGGAACCGACGTACCGAGCTACACTAGAAGAAATGCCAGGCCAGTAATAACGACATCGAATGCGGTCAAGAGTTTTTTTAAAACCAAGATGACCAGCAGTCAAGTCGTCGTGGAAGGCTTCGAGCACCTGAAGTCGAAGAGAGCGTGGCAGTACAGGAACCCAGCGCTGACCGTCAGGGTGGTAGACGTGGCGGTGGAGAACCCCATTGTCCAGCTTAAAGTGCAGGAGTTGACGACGGAGTCGCGCGTTTGGTGGATGAGAAACTCCCGAAATGTGGTCCATGATGCGTCTGCAGTATGAATCGGACCGCTGGCGGGAGATAAATGTTGGCTCATCATCCGAAAAGGGTTGCGTTATTGATGCGAGCGTATGAACTTTGGTAGATGTGGCGGTTGAGTTCTCACCAACGCTCATATGGGTAGTTGGAAGCGGGCAACGAGATAAAGCATCGGCGTCTTGATGTTTTCTGCCTGACTTGTAAGTTATATCAAAGTCGTACTCCTGCAAGCGTAGTATTCACCGACCCAAGCGTCCGGACAAGTTCTTCAGTGTAGAAAGCCAGCATAAGGCATGGTGGTCCGTAACGATTGTGAAGTGACGCCCAGTGGAGATAGGGACGGAACTTCTGGACCAACCAAACCACAGCCAAACACTCTTGCTCAGTTATAGTGTAGTTCTCTTCAGCAGCGGTGAGTACGCGACTGGCATATGCAATAACTTTCTCTAGGGAAGACTTGTAGCGTTGTAGAAGAACGCCTCCTATACCAAGGCCGCTAGCGTCGGTATGGAGGATAGTTGGTGCGGCTTCGTCAAAGTGGCAGAGCAGAGGTTAAGACGTGAGTGCCCACTTCAACAGGTCGAATGCTGTTTGGCATTTTTGAGACCACAGAAAGGGGACGTTGGAAGCAAGTAGTTGGTGTAATGGAGCAGCAATAGAAGCGAAGTTCTGGATAAACTGGCGAAAATAGGAGGCGAGGCCAAGAAAACTGCGAAGCTCCTTTGGTTTTTCGGGGCGCGGAAAGTGAAGGACTGCAGAAATCTTGTCAGGGTCGGGCCGGATGCCATCTTTGCTAACGACGTGTCCTAAGACCTTGATAGATTTGCTAGCGAAAGAGCATTTCTTCGTGTTTATTTGAAGCCCGGCGCCGGCAAGGCACGTCAAAACTTGATCCAATCGTTCTAGGTGCTCAGGAAACGTTGACGAAAAGATAATAATGTCGTCCAGGTAGCAAAGGCAACTTTTCCATTTCAGGCCACGCAGCACGGTATCTATCATGCGCTCAAAAGTCGCGGGTGCCTTGCGGAGCCCGAAAGGCATCACGTTGAATTCATATAGCCCGTCGGGGGTTGCGAATGCCGTTTTCTCCTTATCGTCTTCATGCATGGGGATCTGCCAGTACCCAGAACGCAAGTCGATGCTTGAAAAGAATTCCGCGCCTTGTAGGGATTCAAGGGCGTCGTCAATGCGTGGCATAGGGTACACGTCCTTGCGTGTGATCTTATTGAGCGCCTGGTAGTCCACGCAAAACCGCACAGAGCCATCCTTTTTATGGACCAAAACAATAGTAGACGACCAAGGGCTAGATGAGGGACGGATGACTTCCCGTTTAAGCATGTCCGCAATGTTTTCTTCTATAATTTTTCTTTCAGTTAGAGACACGCGGTAGGGTCGGCGGTGTACAATAGATGTCCCAACAGTTTGAATTCGATGTGCTGTAGTATTAGTGCGGCCCAGCTTAGACGAGCAAATATCGAAAGAATTTGCATGTTTCTGTAACAATGCGAGCAACTGCTGCCTCTGTGAATATGTCAATTCGCTGCTGATAGTGGTGGTAAAGGCGGAGGAAGAAACATGCTCACCGAGGCAAGGTTCTTTGTATGCGATGGCCTGAAGTGGCGTGACGAGTACAGGCTCGAAGTCAGCAACACGGCCCACAGTAGTGCCCTGTGGCAGTAAGATCTTCTCCGGTGTAGAGTTGACAGCGGTGACAAGTGCCGAGCCATTGCAAAAACGAACGACACCGGACGGAAGAACTATACCTTTGCGAACGCAAAGTGGTGACGGTGAGACCAATACATCCCCGTGATAGATGCCGTTGGACGTAATGGTGACAATTTGCTCTGGTAGTGGCGGGAGTTCGATGTCTTTCGCAGCGACCAGACGAAGTGGCTTCTGATTATCGTCGTCAAGCATGTAGTCGGTGTCAGCGAGGTGAACGACGCGTTGTCCACAACAAATCGCCGCGGAAGCAGATGATAGAAAATCCCACCCTAAAATTAGTTGGTGAGAGCAGCGGGACAGGACAGCAAACTGGACATGATGGCGGATGCCGTCGATGAAAACACGCACAGTACAAAGCGCGGAAGGGCGAATGATGTTCCCCTGGGCAGCAACTAACGTAAGACCATCGTAAGGCGTCATTACTTTCCTTAAATGTTCACACAAATCAGCACGTATCACAGACAATGTCGCACCTGTGTCCACCAAAGCATCGACTCGCACTCCTTCCACTTCCACAGAAACCATGTTACACGGGCCTAATGGAGGAATTTCAGTTCTAATTCCGAATGCAGTTTTTCCTCCACAAACTGCATCACTTAGTTTTCCGAATGAATATCAGAGGCGAATGAGGCGGGCCGTAGTGGAGAAGTGGAACGGCGGAAGGGCGAAGGCGAGCGGCGTCTCGTGTTTCGGCTGTTTCGTGGTGCAGTCGATGCAGGAGGAGATGGAGACCGGTGCGGGGGAGACGAATAACGCCGACCTTGATAAGACGCCCCGTTGTACAAATCCCGTTCACGCACATCGTTCCGACGCTCATCTTGCTGGCGCTTCCGGCAGAAACGAGATATGTGGCCGCGATAGCCACAGTAGTAGCATACAGGGCAAGACGAGCGCCACGGTGGAGAATAGAAGGCATTCGGGGCACTTGGAGATAGCGCGGTCAGGTGGGCCGAAGGGTCAGGGGGCACGGAATGGTAGTGCACAGGGGTAGCGGCAGCAACTGACGCGTAGGATGGACGTGGCAATGTCGCGTGGGCGTCGCTGGGAGGCACGGCAGCAACTTGAGGGTACGTGGATAAAGGGTGAGAAGCAGGTGGCTGTACGGGCGCGGAGCCAGTCAGGGATGTAAGTTCCTCCCTGATGATGTCACGTAAGGGCATTCCCGAAGGCTGTCTAGGTCGCGGTGTAGGAGGTGTGAAGCCCATGGACCGCAATTCTTCGCGTATATAGTCCCGGATGAGGTCACGCAGATGGCCATCTGACGTGGAGTGGTGGTCGCCGATGTCTGGTTGAAGGCGGACGGAGTCCAGCGCATCAAGGCGCTGGCATGTCGCAACGACATCAGCGATGGTAGTTGGGTTTTGCACAGCGAGGGCATTAAAGGTAACAGGCCCAATGCCTTTCAATATGTGGCGCACTTTGTCCGATTCCGGCATAGATTTATTGACACGCCGGCAGAGTGCGAGGACATCCTCGATGTATGAAGTATACGATTCACCGGGATGTTGTCGGCGAGTATCGAGTATCCTCTTCGCAACGGCGGATCGAATGTCTGGTGTCCCAAAGACGTGCCGCAGCTGCTGCTGGAAGGTAGCCCAGTCGGGTAAGTCAACGACATGGTTAAAATACCATGTCTTCGCGACTCCGACCAGATAAAAAGGGACGTAGCGCAGTTTGGCAACCTCGTCCCACCTATTAGCGGCACTTACGCGGTCGTAGTCATCAAGCCAGTCTTCTACGTCTTCTCCCCGAAGACCAGCGAAGAGCGGGGGTTCCCGCTGATGTCCGTGTATGTAAGTAGGAGGGGCAGCTTGCGGCGGTGCGTGGTTGATGACATCAGTGCCGGCAAGCTCAGTCTGGGACATGCTGCCTGACTGTGGGCGCAAGCGGCGGCCTGAACGAAGCTCCAGGGGGTATAGCGGGCTGCGGGAGGTCAGAGGACCGAAAATCCACCTCCACCACGTATGAAGTCTTGGTAGTCTTGGCTGTGACAGCGTTTATTTGAGGAAAGACCTCGCAAAACGAACGAGCAGAGTCAGCACACAGATGATGACGATGATGATGACCCAGAGTGGCAATGAGGGCAAAGAGACAAGCGGATGATGGTGATTGTGATTATGCAGGGATGAGGACGATGTAAGTTACAAATGCCCACAATATATATATATATATATATATATATATATATATATATATATATATATATATATATATATATATATATATATATATATAGAGAGAGAGAGAGAGAGAGAGAGAAAGAAGAGAGAGAGAGACAATATTACTGAGATCTTAGATTGCTACAAAGAAAAGTGATTAGACATAATTTTAATGTAAATGTGAAGATATAAAGTGACTGAAAAGATAACTTGCTGTGGGCAGGAACCGAACCTGTGATCTTCGAATTACACGTTCGATGCTCTACCAATTCCGATTCCACGGCGGCTATGCCCCCATCCACTTTATTGGGTATATATACGTGAATTAAACGTGCGAGTGTCAGTCAGCGCCACCGGTAACCATGGTATCGCGTTTGGCACACTCTTCATGAACCTGTATGGCGTCACGTCGATAGCACGTGAACCTATTACTAGCAGGCAGCTGACTTATAGTCCCTTGTATACAAGCCAAATGCACCAGGTCTGCCAGTACGAGACTCTCGTTGTAGCGTTGGTGCTAGCCGAGAGACAAGAGCCTTCTCCTATTAGAGACCAAGCATTGTAGATGTCTCGGCTTGTCGGCGTCTTACCTCGACGTGACTGTCCTTCATAAGCGGATATGCCCCACGAAAATTGGGTAAATCCAACTCCTCGCAACCAGTCCATATTATTCATATTATGCGAACAAAATGAACTCTACAGCCACTTTTAGTCCAAAGTTTCTAATGTTAAAATTAAGAACTTAAAATGACCCGATGTTTCGGTTCCTTGTTGAGGGTTGACTATTCAACCGGCTCCAAGCGAGTTTTCTTAGTGGTGTCCCCCTCTCCTTCTTTCCGCCATTCTTGTTGCTGCGCTGTTTTTTATCCACTGGTTTAAGGTTCGTCGTTGCTGCCTAAAACATTACGTTTGTCTTAGCAGCTATGTCAAATCACCGACGAAATCTAGCAAAGCACTACAGTTTCTTATCTAAAACACACGGAATAAACATGCATCTCTACGGTGATGTCATCAATGCTACTCCTTTTTGTAACACATCTGCAAAGTATTAGCACCTTGAAATGGGCTGCTTGGTGTGCTCCTCACTAGCCTTACTAGCGTGTACTGTGCACCATTTCTTCATTCTGCTAAGTGGTGGTGCGTTAGCGTATTGGTGGTAAGTAAAGCAGTAAAAAGTGGAATTTGTTCTGTGGGGAACACCGGCGCACAGTGCATGATTTGCCTCCTCCACAGGTTTTACGTTAGGGGCACTGAAAAACGCTTTTTTTTTAGCCAAGCGGTTTTTTTTTTTTTAGAAGGCCGACCAGAAGGACGTTGCGTCACCCTTGCGCCACTGTGATTATTCAGTCACTGGGACTCGATGAGTGACCATGCATGACATGGAGTAGTAGAGGTTTCGCTCTAATATGCAATTTCCGTAAGTGTACCCCCTCAAGAGTGTGAGAACCAGCAAGCTGTAGTGCGTTACCAATGCCAGAACTTTTTAGCATGTGAACGAAGGTATACAATAAGCCGTCGTCTTGCCGTGACCGTCTGCAGGGTGTGTCAACTCATCAAATGCGGTTAACTATGAAGTTGGCGTGAAAAGTAGTAAAATTGCTTTTGATAAATTGTCAACCTACAAGTTATCTTCACTTAAATCAACTTATTATTTGAGTTGCTTCTTGTTTTAGCGCTACCAAGGTGTTATTTCCCGCATGGACAACGTGTTCGACATCATGGTGTCCATAAGCAAGGGCCAAAGACTTTCTTTGCTGGTCGAAAGTCAAGGAAGAAATGCCTACGGTAACCTCAACGATGCGAAAGTGAGTTTATAGCTGAATTGTTGTAGATTTGTGCGTATATCGCTTCCGATTTAACTACTGAGGGTTTGAAATAATTCTGTTGCCCAACTCCTCAATCCAGCGGTGTTAGAGTCATGGCGAATAATTTGTTCACCCAATATTACAGGGAATCGTTTCGAATGTGACTTTTTCTGGAATCGTAGCTCACTCACTGGAACGTCACTCCCATCGACGAACGAAAGGTACTGCCAAGAAAATTTGCGACTATACCACAGGAGACACACTGCCCTCCTGGTTTTGCTGCTTATGAGGCAAGGTTTCCATTGAAAGTGTCCCCGCCACTGGACACATTCTTGAGGCTGGACCACTGGAAAAAGGCAAGAACTAATTTAACGAGAAAAATATCTTTGTCGCTTTCTGATGCGTCATCATCTTTTGTTTCACATTTTTTATAGAATAAAGCACAGAAAGTTATGTTGTTAGGCTGTATATTGTGCTTGCCTGAGGGCATGATGCAGTGCAAGTACACAATCCTGATGAAGGACAGACTCACGTCGCGACTTTGCAACAGTGTCGTGTTTGTTTCATTAAGCTACATTGTGTTCTTTGCAATGAAAGCTTCGAGGATAAATACGGTAGCTAGTGTAATGGCATTAGGCATAGGCTTGTGTCTTGCAAGAGCATGGGGAGAGTACAGTGGAGCCGTTTTCTTGAAACCTAGCGAAATCTTTACACAGCCTCCCCCCCCATTCTGTGTCAGGGTTGCAGGCACAGCTGTCCTAGAAGTTGGAATCGTATCATAATAGGTTAGAAAATACTTGCGCAACACGTATTCGAGACAGAGATACGAGATAAAAGAACAATATCGTATCCAAGCTTCGGTCAGTCTGTCCAAAGTTTAAATGACGGACTTCATGAGCACCAGTACAGCATGACTATAGAACCGTTAGTGGAAATCTTGGCGCTCATTGCAAGCAATGTTAGTGTTGCCCAGAATTAAAAAAAAACTGTGACACACTAACCTGGAGCAGTAATCAAATAGCGTGAAAAATCACCGGTGACCTCTATATTGCATTGTTAATTGATGTTAGTTGCCCATCTATTTTACTATGTGACAAAGAAATTTATATATCGCTACACGTGTGTCTTCTCCGTGCCTTAATTATTTTTTCCTTGCATCGAGGTCGTGCTACAGACAATCGCATCTAAGAATCTGACAACGAGCCCACTTTAGGACTCTCGTTTACTTGGTTGACTTGACATGATTGAGCTCTTTTCGCCATGTGCACGAAGCTTACCTGTTTTTTTTTCTTCTCTGTGTACTTTTTTTTCTTGAATTTTTTGCATTTTTTCTGGTAAATTCCTCTTAGGTATTTATACACGTCTTTAACCAGAATTTATTATTAGCTGATAGCATCTCGTGTGGTGCGTTATTCGTTCCTCTGCTGCGACTTCGTTTTCGCCACGCTCTTTGTTGGTTAGAGAAGTTCAGCCCAACTAGCCAAGAGATTCATCTTATTAGGTGACTTTACGCCTCCACGTCCCCCGAACATCTGCCTCGTTTGGACTAGAACGCTCTTACCCTTATGTGAGTTGCGCAAACTCGGGGAGCACCTATACATAGCCTCGGCGTGCTTACGCATTTCCGAAATATGATCATTCGAGTGCTGTAATACGAGGCATGTGTGCTGTGTTTATAAACTTAAACTTACCTATCAGAGCTTAGCTGAGCATAAGACAGATGCTTGGGCTAGTTGGTGATTGGGAATCAACACTTGTGCACAGCGCAAGACTACGAGTAGTTACCACGTAAATTCTCGTAGTTTTGCGCTGTGCAAATATATTGATTAGCTGAGAAAATGCAATTGCCGACTTTGCGCTTGTATGTTGTTGTTTTGTTCAACAGGCAGCACAGGCGCACGCAGTGTTCGCCTTCAGAAAGAAGGGTGGGGGGCGAGGGTACATTGCAGCGCCTCACCCCGTTAAGTGAAAATAGGTGGCAGTGTTTGCGTCTTTCAATTAAGTGACAAGGGGGCAATGCCCAACCGCCTGCACAAACACCGTGTATACGCATGCCTATGAGTGGCAGTCTTCTCTCTTGACGCAGGGTGCAGCCTTCTTAAATGGCTTCAATCTTGGTCGATACTGGACGCCCATGGGACCTCAGAAGACGCTGTACGTACCCTCCGTGCTCTTCGAGACAGAGAACGTCCTGAACGTTATCGAGCTTGAACAAGCGCCATGCTCGGACTACTCTACTGCCGAATTCGTGGACACACCCGAACTAAACGCAACAGTACCCCTCTTCGCTAGTGCTGCATTGAAAAAGAGCGGTAAATAAAACTTTTCAAATGAATACGGGTCATCGAACTCTTCTTTATGGCACTCTGCAACTATAGCTCTGGTAGGCGAAGACCAATTTCAGATGGACATTTATACCTAAGTTCTTTCGTGAACAGCTGCATGTACACATATTGCAACTCGCTGTGCCCGAAACGCCGAAAACTTGCTCGATATTTACGCCATCTTTTGGACAAGCATAATGAGACAATGTCCAGCATGTCCACGTCAACTAAGTTATGGAGACTGGGCTAGATAAGTGCTTGTGATATACAGCTAAGGCCTGATATATGAATTAGCGTGTTAGCACATATACTGTGAGTATAGAAATAGAAAAGTGTGCGTGTGAACGTTTTATGACAGTGTGAACTGATGCAAGCAAACTGTTCATTCACACGTTATTTCAGCTTGCTTCAGTGTGCTATTATGCTCGTGTTTTGTTTGCTGATTGTTCACTTTGGGCATCATTGTTTTTTTTTTTTGCTGCACAATCTATCAATATGGAGTAGGTGAGGTAATATGAACTCTACCTTTCCACAACAAAGCAGACCATAACAGAACAGAAGTTGCCATACCTTTACCACGATAGCGTTAAAGAGCTCATTTTTCAGAAATTCCGGTGTCGGAGTCGTTGGTTGTGAGTGAGCGAAAAGTCACATGCGTGAGCGAAAAATTGAGAACGATGCAAATAAAATAAATATATGATAAAAGACCTTGGAGCAGAATGAAGACAGAACCAGGGTTGTTGCGATTTGAGTGGGGATTGAATCCGGATCATTGGCCACGCCTCTGCTTGTGAAAACAGTGAAAAGAACTTTCTCTGCTTGTAAATGCAGTGAAAGTAGCCTTTGTGCTTCACAAGCACACGTGTCCTGTATACATGTTTCACAATGCAACATGAAATATTGCCACCCATAGATTTGCTCAGGTGAAGTGGAACAAAGATACAAATTTCATTCTGCTTTTGAATGAGGGAAAACAAAACTCAAATTCAAATTGAAAAATTATAACAGATGTCGGAACATACGTTTTAAAATAACGAATTGCAGTCATCACCAATTAGCAGTAGCAGCAAGATGAGTATATATATATAGCTAAAACAACACAAAATTACTGCAAAATTACTAATTACCATAAAGAAATACATTCGAAAAGAAAGAAATTGAGTGAATTTCATCAAATATACAAAAGCAAAGAAGCCACAAAAATATTTATAATAAATAATACAATTATGGCTGCTTACAAGTAAGGAAGTACATGTTAACTTTTTTTTCACGCTATTCTTAGTGTCAAGTTCTTCGAAAAGTTCACGAACATAGCTAGTTTCGTGGAGTAGATAAGGTATTTGATAAGATAAAGTTTGCTTACTATATGTTGTTCTGCATAAAGGCTATCGAAAACGATCAAAGCGTAGATAATAGAGAGTATCACTTGGGTAGCAATGCCCCCATATAAGTGCCAACGGTGTTTCCTATTTCATCAATGACGTATAAGCTGAGTTTAAGATTGTATTGTCACGGGGTCGTGACGTGGCCGAAGACAGGAGACTTCTTGTTGGAATTCAACTGTTTATTTGGGCGAACCTGTGCCCGGTAAACAGAAAGTCCAATTACAGCAGCAGTCTCGCACAGATAGCAGTCTCAGACTGATAGCGGCGAACGGAGCGTCGGCCTTCGATCAACAACTGACAAGCGGCGAAGCGCGTCGGCATTTATACTCCCGCCGTCGAATGTTCTAGCGCTATCGCTGGCGGCGGCGTGCGTTCCAGAACAATCTGTGCCATTCGCACAGTGGGCGTGATCTTATCGAAATGATCTACTACAGTCCGGAACCATCTAGAAAACTGCAGGCGCGGTTTGCGCTGAGAATCGTGTGGTGTTTTGGGACGATAACAAAAACTTGGGCAATGGAATGTGGCATTGCCCCCCTCTGAAAAAGGCATCGTCTCGATGCTTTAACTAAAGATGAAGGTACAAGAAAGTACAATGAATAAATTACGATACAACAATAATACAAAAAACACTGGTTCAGTTTGTTAACGCGCATGAAACGGCTTGAGGCGCGCGACATGGACGACTTCAGGTCGCGATCGGCGTCGTTGAGAGTTCGTAATGCCGTCGGGGACAACCTCGTAATCAAGTGGGCCGAGACGTCGAACCACCCTGTACGGTCCGAAGTACCGTCGCAGAAGCTTTTCACTTAGTCCACGTCGGCGTATCGGCGTCCACACCCAAACACGTTCACCGGGCTGGTATTCCACGAAGCGTCGTCGAAGGTTGTAACGGTGGCTGTCAGTCGTCTGTTGATTCTTGATACGGAGACGCGCAAGTTGTCGGGCTTCTTCAGCGCGATGAAGGTACTCGCTCACATCGAGGTTTTCTTCGTCGGTGACGTTGGGTAACATGGCATCGAGCGTCGTTGCCGGGCTCCTTCCGTAGACCAATTTGTATGGAGATATCTGCGTCGTCTCCTGCACCGCCGTGTTGTATGCGAAGGTCACATACGGAAGAATGGCATCCCACGTCTTGTGTTCGACATCGACGTACATTGACAGCATGTCGGCGATCGTCTTGTTAAGCCGCTCGGTGAGGCCGTTGGTCTGTGGGTGGTACGCTGTCGTCCGGCGGTGGTTTGTTTGGCTGTATGCCAAGATCGCTTGAGTTAAGTCGGCAGTGAATGCCGTTCCTCTGTCGGTGATAAGGACCTCCGGGGCGCCGTGACGTAGGACGATATTTTCGACGAAGAACTTAGCTACCTCGGATGCACTGCCTTTTGGCAGGGCTTTTGTCTCGGCGTAGCGGGTGAGGTAGTCGGTGGCTACCACGATCCACTTGTTTCCGAAAGCCGACGTCGGGAACGGCCCCAATAGGTCCATACCAATCTGCTGAAAAGGTCGGCAAGGTGGATCAATTGGCTGCAGAAGTCCCGCTGGCCTTGTCGGCGGTGTCTTGCGTCGCTGACAGTCCCGGCATGTCCTCACATAACGAGTGACGTCGGTGGTAAGACGCGGCCAGTAGTACCTTTCTTGTATCCTCGCGAGCGTGCGAGAAACACCGAGGTGCCCTGCCGTCGGATCGTCGTGCAGGGCCTGCAGGAGTTCTGGTCGCAGAGCTGAAGGCACCACAAGGAGATACTTAGCCCGAAGCGGTGAAAAGTTTTTCTTTTGTAGAAGACCATTTCGTAGAAAAAACGACGCAAGTGCGCGCTTGAATACCTTCGGGACTTCGGTGGTCCTGCCTTCGAGGTATTCTATTAGAGCCTTAAGTTCCGCGTCGGCCCGCTGTCGTTCAGCGAAGTCGTCGGTAGTTATCGTTCCCAAGAAGAAGTCGTCATCCGGGTCGTCGGGTAGCGGTTGGTCGACAGGCGCACGAGAGAGACAGTCGGCGTCGGAGTGTTTTTTGCCGGACTTGTAAATGACAGTAATGTCATATTCTTGAAGTCTCAGGCTCCATCGTGCGAGGCGACCTGAAGGGTCCTTCAAAGTGGCTAGCCAACACAAGGCGTGGTGGTCGCTCACAACTTTGAAGGGCCTGCCGTAGAGGTATGGGCGAAATTTCGACGTAGCCCAGATGATGGCGAGGCACTCCTTTTCTGTTGTGGAATAATTTGCTTCTGCTTTGGATAGCGATCGGCTGGCGTAACTAATAACCCTTTCAAGTCCGTCAGCCCTCTGCACAAGAACGGCGCCAAGACCTACGCTGCTTGCGTCAGTATGTATTTCTGTCTCGGCGAATTCGTCGAAATGGGCAAGTACCGGAGGCGTCTGGAGGCGATGTTTAAGCTCCTGGAAAGCGTGTTCCTGTGGCGTTTCCCACTTGAACTCCACGTCGGCCTTAGTAAGGTTAGTGAGAGGATCGGCGATGCGGGCGAAGTTTTTCACGAACCGCCTATAATAGGCGCACAGGCCCAGAAATCGGCGCACGGCTTTCTTGTCAGTGGGCGGCGGGAATTCGGCGATGGCGGCTGTTTTCCGTGGATCAGGACGAACTCCAGACTTGCTGATAACGTGCCCCAGAAACAAGAGCTCTTCGTACGCAAATCTGCACTTTTCTGGCTTCAGTGTGAGTCCGGAAGTCTTGATGGCTTGAAGTACAGCTTCAAGGCGCCGAAGATGCTCGTCGAAACTCGAAGAAAACACGTCGACGTCGTCCAAGTACACAAGGCAAGTCTGCCACTTCAATCCTGCCAGTACTGTATCCATAACGCGTTGAAAAGTTGCAGGCGCTGAGCAAAGGCCGAAGGGCATCACCTTAAACTCGAAGAGGCCGTCCGGTGTTATAAACGCCGTCTTCTCTCGGTCTCTTTCGTCGACTTCGATTTGCCAATAGCCAGTCTTGAGGTCCATTGACGAAAAGTACTTGGCATTATGGAGCCGATCAAGTGCGTCGTCTATTCGTGGGAGAGGATACACGTCCTTTCTTGTGATTTTGTTCAGACGGCGATAATCGACGCAAAAACGTAGGGTCCCATCCTTTTTCTTCACTAACACCACGGGGGATGCCCATGGGCTGTTGGACGGCTGGATAATATCATCCCGCAGCATTTCATCAACTTGTCTCTTGATGGCCTCACGTTCTCGCGTCGAAACCCTGTACGGACTCTGACGGAGTGGTCTGGCATTTTCTTCGGTTATGATGCGATGTTTCGTGATTGGGGTCTGCCGAATTTTCGATGACGACGAAAAGCAATCTTCGTATTGCAGGAGCAGGGCCTTGAGCTGTTCTTGCTTATCGTTCGGAAGTCTGGGATTGACGTCGAAAGCTATGGGAGGGGCTTGGTTCCTCTGAGCAGGTTCCGCAGAATCGGCGAGGGCGAAAGCACTGGTGGCTTCGACAATTTCTTCGATGTATGCGACCGTTGTTCCTTTGTTAACATGTTTGTACTCATTGCTGAAATTTGTGAGCATAACCGTTGCTTTGCCTCCCCGCATCTTTGCAATTCCTCTTGCGACGCAAATATTTCGGGTGACCAACAGATGCTGACTGCCTTCAACGACGCCTTCGAAGTCAGGTGATT